CAGTTGCCAGCTTGTCCGGTGTCGGCTTGCTTGCGCTGGGGTCAGTGGCACTGCTGTATATCATCAGCCGACTATTTCTCAGCATCCCTTACCCCAAGGGCATCCCGCTCATTGGCGAGCCTGATGGTGCCACACGATTCAGCATCCGCACGTATTTGCGGTTCTATACCGATTGCCAGGGTCTGTTCCGTGAGGCCTACGATAACGTACATCCTGTCTTGGTCCTCGCATCTCCTCCCGTTCGCTTACCTTAGGCCTAGTATACCAAGAAGGGAAAGCCGGTAATCATTCCAGGCATCGGTTTCCGCCATGAGGTCATTATGCCCACGAGCTCGATGCGATGGGTTCAGACACAGCCGGAAAGCCAGCTCGATCCCAGCACCGCTTTTGCAGAGGTTGATCAGGTTCATTGGGCTCTTGGCCACGACCGATATGTGGTGGATGCGTGGCAAGGCCACCTGGTCAAGACCGAGATGAATGCGATCCTGGAGAACATTTGCGCCGCCATGAACGAGGAGCTCGGTACTGCCTTTGACAAGTGGTTCGGGACCAATCCGGAGTGGAAAGAAATCGACCTATTTGAGTCGTTGAAAATGGTCGTTGCGCAGGCTGCGAGCCGCTTCACCATCGGCCCAGGCCTGGGCCTTTGTAGGTACCCTCCATATAGATGGCTGCACAGAGACATCAAGCTGACGGGAAGTAGGCCGTAACGAAGACTACCTCAATCTCAATTTCGATATTATCAACCAGCTCATCATGAACGCCGGCGCTTCCGGAGCCAGCCCTCGGGTTCTTCGACCTGTTGTAGGTAGGGCTGTCAACTTTACAATACATGGCAAGATCAACAGACTCAAGAAGATGTTTGAGCCGCTTTGGAAGGAGCGTCTCGAGACTTTGAAGTACGCTCGCGATGACCCAGACCACATTGAGCCTCAAGATCACCTGCAGATGATGGCCCGTTACGCCAAGGACCACCGCCAAGAAGAGTTCAATGATTTGGACATGATGACGCGCCGTCTGATCGCAGCCAACTTCGGATCCATGCATCAAACCAGTATCCAAGCCACCAATATGCTTCTCAACATTTTGGGATCAGACATGGAGTTCAACACCATCACGATCCTCAGGGACGAGGTTGATCGTGTACTGTACGCCGATGGAGACAACAACTGGACAAAAGCCAAAGTGAGCAAGATGGTCAAAGCCGACAGCGTCGCCCGAGAGACCTTGCGCCTGAATTCCTTTGGCGGACGTGCCGTCTTCCGAAAAGTCTTGGTCGACGGCTTCAAGACCCCCGACGGGTATCACCTCCCCAAGGGGACCCTCATCTCCTTCCTCGGACAACCCGCTCAGACGGATGGCGAGGTGCTTGAAGACCCGCTGAAGTATGATCCCTTCCGCTTCTCCCGTATGCGTGAGGATGCAGCCGCAAAGGACGAGAAGGCGCCCCCGGTCACCTTTGTCACCACGAGCCCCGAATATCTGCCTTTTGGGCACGGGAAGCACGCATGCCCCGGTCGATTCCTGATTGACTTTGAGTTGAAGATGATCATCGCCTACGTTCTGGGTCACTATGACGTGGAGTTCCCTCCTGAATACAATGGCAAGCGTCCTGAGAACTACTGGCTCACAGAGGCATTGTTTCCACCAAACGGCGTGAAGCTTCGAATCAGGAGGAAAACGGAAACCAAGGGACAGTGAAGCAGCCTGTTGCTCGAGACATAGAAGCCGGAGATGCGGGAATAAAATTATTTTGAGTTAAATGATGTGAAGCCGGTGGGATAGTTTGGGAAGTCTAAGAAGCACATGGGATTCATGGTCATACACAACAACCGACCGATCCGGGAGACTTCTTAATACTTGCAGCGAGTCTTAAATAGTTAATTCTTCCCGCGCCATTGCATTGGCACATAAGAACTTTGAAGTCGTCTTGTAGCAAGTCTGTGGGGCCTGAATAGGATCTGGCCAGATGTGAGGCCGAGTCTATGCCCTTTAGATCTTGCATCATACTCAACCATTCTAAGAATCCGGGAGTTCTAAATGAGACCGGGCATAGTCCAGCATAGAGGGACTCTGTGCATCCGTAGACCCGGAAACATCGTTTCGCCAATGTCAACATGCAATTCACAAGTCATTACCCCAGGCGGCTTATAGTGTAGTCTACTTCATTCAAATATCCACATGCCACAATGCTATGCTATTGTGCTACAAAACGAGGAAAGCTCCCATGATCATGCCTTCAAGCTATCGCAAGGGATGTTGGAAGGCACCCCCGTCGGGTTGACGAAGTAGTCATGGTACCAGTACACCTGGTGCTCAGGCTTTGTAGACAAATTCGGCGCCGCGTCAACGCCTTCTGTAGTCTTGAGGACAGTGTACTGCGTCTTGTAGCTAAAAGTCAAAGTCCGGTCAGAAAAATGATTTCTCACTCATACTACTTTAAATCGAGCCTCATGCTTGACTTACTAAATTTGCGAGCAGTTGCCCGCCTTGAAGTTATTCTCAATTCGTCCATGAGCCTCGTAGACAGTCGCCGTTGCATTGTTGTCTGCGATGAACGTCGTATTGGGGAAGTGCTGTCCCATGTTGTTAGCCAAACAGACAATTCAAACACATTGCATGCACGAAGGTTATGTGCATGAGGAATGGGAGGTGTTCTCATACGGTAAGTGACATGCTGCCATCGGTGGGCAAGAATCGCTGCTTGCACTTGGTGATGGCGTCTGCACCGACGCAGTGGATGCTCAGCGTCGTCTGCATGCCGTCCGCGGTGAAGAAGTCGGTGTACGCCGTCGTGGCGGTGGGATCTTCTGCGGGGGTGACGAGACTACACATCACAAACGTCAGTATCCATTCATCAAAAGAGGAGTCTTCCTTTTGGGAGATTGTTGAACAACTTACGCCTTGAGGAAGGCCTTGAACTCGGGTTGCACACCAGGCTGCGGGTCGTAGTCTGTGAAGTCAATCGCCGCGACGAAGCGCGCGGCGAGGAGGGCGGGGAGAGCAAAGGTGAGCTGCATCTTAGGATTTAGAAGTGCAAACAATTAGGGCACAAAAAAAGAGAGGCTTCTATGAACGCGCTTGAAACGAATGGGTAATGCTTGAGGCTGCTTGAGAGAGAATGAGGCTCTCGTGAGATGGGGCCGGTGGGATTTTATAGAAACATGAAATGCGTCTCGATAGCCTGTGTACACCGACGGGTTGAGGTGGGTAACTTAGTCAACGCAGGGCTGTGTCTGCTATCGGCGTTTCGTACAAAAGATACTAATGCGACAGAACGAACTGTATAATCATGATAGCATAAGCGCCCAGGCCCCTATGTACTTACTACGGCGAAAGCGAGAGGCTCTTTGAGTGGGCAATATGCTCAACACTGCACTTTTTGCGGCCGGTTCGCCCCTTATTTCGGCCCAAGTTGACCGGTCCGTCCTAAAGCTTAATAGACGACCATCTGGCGATTGAGCGGGTACAAGAAGCAGAAATCGCCAAAAGTACCAACGGTACCAGCGGAAATCGTCCCCAGATATACGCGAAAAGGCTGGGCCCGAGCTGGGGTGCACCCTGCCGGACATGGGATGAAGGTTTCCCAGGGCCTCCCGTTCCCGCAGAACGCCGCGCCGCCCGCCCCTTTTCTTTTCCTCGGAGCACCCGGCTGGACCGGTGCTGCCGACGGGGGAGAGCTGACCGCCTGAGATACCCCCATTTCAGGAGGGGCTCTGGATCGGACTTGCTATGATCGAAGGCGGGGTCTTTAAAGAGCTGAGTGAATGTTCTGAGAGTGACGACAGGCTTAAGCATCCGTTGACTCCTCGAGAATCCCACAGCTCTTGAACTTCGTGTCCTTTCAACAAGCCCAGTCTTTACCGCGAAAGCAAACAACATATTACCAAACATGAAGCCCTCAACTCTCCTCCCGCTAGCCGCAACCCTCGTCGCCGCAGTCGACATGGCGCCCTACAAACCCTCCGCCGGCGTCGACGTCGCCTTCGCCGACTTCGTCTCTGAATACTACCGCACATCAGAAGACAAAGCCGCCACCACGACCTTCACCAACTTCTGGCCCGCCGACGGCAAGATGATCCTCGCGGGACGGACGTTTGAGGGCGCGACGGCCATGCTGGGCGTCAAACAGTCGCTGCTCCCGCCGAACGGGAACAAGTCGTGGTGGCATCTGATCCGCGGGGCGACGGTGGGCGGGGAGACGGAGACGGATAAGACGTTCGTGGCGGAGATTGTGGTGCAGACTACGTATGTTGGGGGGAACTGTTCTCAGGCTTAGTAAGTTCAATTGCCCAATCCTGCATGCTCAAATTTGGGATGATGGTACTGACGATGTCTTTGTTAGCGGGAGCGCGGCGTTTACGGTTCTGAAGGACGCCCAGGGTGCGCCAAGACTAGAGCCGCATTCGGAGAGTTTGAGTGTGTATAACCTCACAGTCTCGACGACGGATTCGCCCACGGATATTCCGTGCAGCAGTTCGTAGTGAGCGGGCAACCACGATACAAGTAGCATTAGCTAGAAAGGATCAGATACACAATCAGAAGTCAAAAAGTACTGGAATATGATCATTGTGGAAAAAGCTCTGTTCAGTTCATCGTACTGGATACTGCCCCGTATCTCGAAGCAATGAACATATTCTATCGTATCATATCGTAACCAATAATGCAAGTATCGCTCTCTAATGCCGTAATGACAGGTTTTGCCCTCCGTCCCAGTGTGCCGAACCATTCCACACGTGAATTTTGGTGCCCCGAGCCCCAATAACGCCCCGTGAAACAAGACTAGATTGGTCTTTGGTGTATGTTGTAATACCCACCGCCAGTGTTATATATACGTGCGCAAAACAGAATCCGGTCGTAGAATCGTGCCAAGGAAATAGAAACAAGAACAAAAGGCCGCACTAAATGGTATCGTAGCTAGTAACATGTAACAGAGGAATGGAAGTATATGCCAAAATAAAGAGTCTGTGAAGAAGCGGATCATCAAAGACAGTGGCTGATCACTGAGCCTTCTCAACATCTCTGGTGTTTGTGTTCTCCTCCTGGGTGGAGATGACAATCTCGGGCGCAGCGACCTTGGCGTCATCAGAGCCTGAAGAAACACCAGCGTCCTCGGATACGGCGTCAGCCTCGGTAGTCTTCTTGCGACGGAAAGCGGCACCGATTGTGGTGAAGAACCTGCCGAGGGCGCGATAGACGATAACAACGGGTCTGCCGACCGTCTTTGCAATCTTCTCGAACCAGGGATCGGGGAAGAGACGGATGAGGACGGCCATTGGGAGAGAGACGGATGCGAGAACGATAGAGACGGCCCAGTGCTCGCCGCTGATACCGCCTGGTGTGATGCGGAAGGCCTTGCCACCGACAAAGATGATAGCAACCTGGGCGCCAACCATGATGCAGTTGATGATGATGAAGAAGTAGTTGCGGTGCACGCCCTCAAAAATATTGAACTTGTTGTCCAGGCGACGGTTGTTGAACTCGTTGAAGATTTGCATCCACACAAAGGTGTTGAAGATCATGGAGTCGAGCTCCAGCTGCTGGTCTTCGTTGTTGGCGTCGTAGCCAAAGATGGCGTTACCGGCGAAGTGAAGAACCAGGGTAGCGGTCAACTGGAAGATTGCCTGACCGATGATCATCTTCCACATGTTGATGGTGATGAGGGGCGCCTTCTTGCCTTGCGGCAGGCGGTCGAGGATCTTCTCGGTCGGGGGGTCCGTGGCGAGCGCAAGGGCGGCGAAGGTGTCCATGATGAGGTTGACCCACAAAAGCTGGACGGCGGTGAGGACGGATTCCATGTCGGGATCGGAGACGGCGGTGATGAAGGCGAGGAGAACAGCAGTGATGTTGACCGTGATTTGGAACTGGGCACAATTATGTTAGCTTCAATCGGTAGGAAAAGGGTTGTGTATCTGCATACCTGAAGAAACTTCTGCACGGCGTCGTTCACTGCTCTTCCCCACTTCAGGGCCGTAACAATCGAGGTGAAGTTGTCATCCATCAAGACGATAGAAGACGCCTCCTTGGCGACCTCGGTACCGGAAATACCCATGGAGAAACCGACATCAGCTGCCTTGAGCGCAGGCGCATCATTAGTACCATCGCCAGTGACGGCAACGGTTTCACCAAGAGCCTTGAGTCGGGTGACCAAGACGCGCTTGTCTTCTGGCGAGGAGCGGGCAAGAACTTGCAGGCGGGGCAGCATCTCGTTCATCTGCTCGACAGAAAGCTTCCTGAAGACGGGACCCTCCATGATGAGACCACCTTCGGTGAAGATGCCGCACTCGGTGGCAATAGCCTGGGCAGTGACAGCATTGTCACCAGTAACCATGCGAACGACAACACCAGCATGCTTAGCCTTGCGAACAGCTTCGGGAACACCAGGACGGACGGGGTCCTGGATACCAACGACACCGGCAAAGACGAGGTCGTGGAGGACATCTCCGAGATCAACGTGTCCTTCGATGGTGGCGTTAACACCGTGGGGGGGCCATTGGGGAAAGTCTTGGTAGATGAGAGCGATGGTGCGGAGAGACTGCTTGGCGTAGGCGTCAATCGTCGCCTCGAGGTTGAGGCGGTCGGACTGCTCCAGAGTCGAGATGGAGAGATCGTTGACGTTGACCTGTTGGCTGCAGTACCCGAGGAGAATCTCGGAAGCACCCTTGACTACAAGGCGGTACCCCTCGTTGTCGGATAGCTTGATGACGGCAGCCATGCACTTCTTGCTGGAGTCGAATGGCATCATTTGCGCAACTTCCTCGTTGGCACGAGTCTCGGCCAGTCCCTGCATGCCGAGGTGGTCCTTGGCGAACTGGAGAAGGGCGGTCTCGGTCTTGGAACCAATGAATGTAGCTTGGCCTTCCTCCTCACCCTCGAAAGCGGTTGAGTTGATGGCGACAGACTGAACGATGAGCTTCTTCGTAGCTGTAGGAAGTGATTGAGCAAATTCAACGGCGCCGATTGTCTTCTCGCCCTCAACCGACTTGGAGAAGCTGGCAGATCCAAAAGTGCCGGCAACAACAGTCATCTTGTTCGTGGTCAGAGTACCAGTCTTGTCGGAGCAAATCGTTGTGGCGTTGCCCATCGTCTCGCATGCCCTAAGGATACGAACCAAGTTGTTCTCCTTCAATAGACGGGTGGTAGCAAATGCCAAAGCCAAAGTTACAGCCAGAGGTAGTCCTTCTGGGACGGCAACGACGATGATAGTGATGGCGACGATCAAGATATCCATGAAAGTGGAAGCTTTCTCGGCGCCAGAGCTGTTGTTGGAGCCCAGGCCAGCCAGGAAGCGGATCAGGAGGACGACGAAAAGGAGAAGGGCAGCACTGCTACCAAGCTTAGCGATAGCCATGGCCAGGCCCTCGAGCTTCTTCTGCAAAGGCGTTGCCTCCATCTCGGTGCGTACCGACATCATAATCTTTCCAAAGCTAGAGTTGGTACCGACGGAGGTGCAGACAAACGTGCCAACACCCTCGAGAACCTTAGCGCCAGAGATGATAAAGGGGTCGAGGTCCTTGGTAGCGTTTCCAGATTGCAGGGCGTTGTAGACGGCATCACCGCCCGTCTTCTTGAGAGCGTCGGACTCGCCTGTCGCCGAGGACTCGTCGCACTTCAAATCATGGCCGCTGATGAAAATACCGTCCACAGGGACGAGATCACCGGGTTCGAGATGGATAACATCGCCAACCAAAATCTCCGCGACGTTCAACATGTACGATTTGCCGGATCGGATAACCTTGACCTCTCGGTCTTCCTTTTTGGCGTTGAGCTTGACAAAGGCTCGTTCCTTCTGCCAGTCATTCAAAGATCCAACCAAGGTGACGATAAGAATAGCAGCGATGATAGCTACTCCCTCAACCCAGTCAACCGGCTGGCCTGCCTCAGGGTCGTGCTCAGCACCAAAAGTTTCGTAAAGGCCAAGCGCAAGCGAAATAGCGGCGGCGACTGTAAGCAAAATGATAACTTTGTCGTTGTATGCACCCCACATGAGTTTCCACAAGGGTGTCGCCTTCTTGGCGGGCAGGACATTCTTGCCGTAAACTCGGGTTCGGTCAGTGAAACCATTGGCATCAGCGTGGTGTGTTGTGGCTGGTGGCTGTGCACCGGATGTGGCGAAGGAGGGCTCCTGATGGCCGGTGGCCTCCTGGAAGCTTACTCTGCCCCCAACGCCCACCTCATCTTGGGATAAACCGGCTTTGACATCTGTCTGTAATCCTTTTTCGATACCGCGCAGGCCGCCGAGCGCGAAAAAAGCGGCCAAAGATTTCGGGTTGAGAAGTTTGTTGAGGTGCCCAGGGCTAAAAGCAAAAGGATTATTGTCAACGACAAACTCGCCTTCCGTGCCGGGATCGGGGTGAAGAGCTGTATCCGGATCTTCCGTTAAAGCGGTTGAATGCATACTTGTTGCAGCGCTGATTGCCGGGGTGAGAAACGGATTTGAGTGCGTCGATATAGGTGACGGTGTTATCGCGTCGTCGTTGTCATTCCCGCGAGAATTGCGGGTGTCAACGCGCAACTGGGGTGGTGCGAGAGACGCCATTAGCACCGATGCAGAGTAGTCTTGAGTTGATGTTATGACTTTCTCATGGACGAGGTGAAAATGAAGTTGAGGAAAGAGTTCTAGGGAGAGAGAAAAGAGAAATTGGTTGCAACAATAATGATGCTAGGTAGCAGGAGTTGGTGTAACCTCCGGCGAGTTGAAGAGTATTAAGAAGGCAGAAGGGCAACACACGAGCTGTACAACAAGGCTGTGTAGGAGGCAACTTGCGTACGGAGGTGTCTTCGCGTTCCTTCCAGGTAGAGAGAGCCTCAAAGGCGTACCAAGAATTCCAAAACGCTGAGTGTGAAGACTTCCGTGAGCCTTGGCGTAACTGCGCCCTTAGCCCCGTCGAAGAAAGTTTCCGTTTCTTAAGTGTACACCGACGCCGTCAAGTCAGCCTGCGTGCCTGCTGAATGGTGACAGCAGAAGAGGGCAGTGCAGAGAGGAGGGCTTCGATTCCGGGCGAGAGGCGAGAGGCGATAGTCTACTTTCCGTCGGATGGCGTGTGGAGTTGAAGAGGATAGTGCGGGATAATCAACCTTGAGTAGCCGTCATGTTTGAGATGACCTTGAGAAGTCCTCACACAAGACGAGACTGATGATGAGGAAGAAGAGTTTTCAAGAGCGTTAGAGGTATAGGCTGATGTTGTCTGGAATCTTGGACCGGCGAGACTTGAGAGTGGCAGTGCAGAATGAGCGTTCACAACGACATGCCCTTCTTGGCAAGTCAAGAGGGTATGAAGTCAACCGAGACCCCACAGAGACAGGATGGATTGGCCAGAGAGAAGCCAAATGATACATGCATCAGAGGAGGGGAGAAATAAAAAAGCGCGCTTGCTTCTGGACTATCACAGCAGGAAGCATATGTTGGTCTTGGCGGTCAAGTAACAGAATAAAAAGTCTTGCACGACGTGATCAAGAGGGGAAGGAGCCAAAAGAGAGGAGCCAGGAGAGGAGCTCCGATGGAGAGATAGAATGATGTGCCGGGGGGAGAGGCGCTCATTTGGGTGAGATTAGCAAGACTAGCTGGTGCAAAGGTGAGCCAAAGGGTGAGAAGGAGGTAACCACCCAAGGTCTGGGCATTGAGGCTGTGCAAGAGGGAAAAGTGCAAAAGGACCCAATGAGGGAATTAAATTGGAGCATCAAGAAGCGAGCTCTATTCAGTGGAAGAACGGCTTGAGTCGGGGCCATCCTAGAACCGCTGTGCAACAACGAGATGGGAAACCAAGCCAGGGGGAAGAATGGAGACTGACAGCGTGTAAATGGGATCTTGGCAACATTGGCCATGCCAATGCTTGAACCTTGGCGTTTTGTTGATGCAAGTGCCGGGACCTTATCGCGTTTGATTCCGAGGTATTCGTTTTCAATCTGACTGGACTTCTCCAGACGAAACCGAGGTTTGCAAGTACCGCCGTGAGCGTCTGTCGATATGGACATATACGGATATTGCGCCCGAGACTTGAGTGGCGTGCCCATCCTTCGGGTCGCAACAGGTGCGGTGCAGTATCGTGCCATGCGGCCGCCCGGCGGGGGGTGGCCACCATTAGATAGACGCCGTGGGCATCCGTGCTGTTCCCGTGTCCGATCGGTGGCCGGCCGTAATCCAGATGGCGTATCGCTCTCAACCTCTTGATACTGCCAAGGGAATGAGACGCACGCAAGAGTTTGGGGAACGAACGCAATCGAGTGCCCGTCCTTTGAAGCCCGGTAGATCCGCTTCTCTCCCGCGCTGGCGAAGAGAGCCACCAAACTGCTGTGGTAAAATGGCGATGGCTTCATCGACCAGCATTACTGGAGCAGTGACCGATCAATGCAGGGCCGAATATACACGGCGGCGGCGAATGACCACTCGGTGTCAGCGGGAAACAGTTTCCCATGGAGGATGGTCGGAGAGGTTTCGGACTGGCAAAGTTTGATGACGGAATGGGTGCATGGATCGGGACATTGTCCGTTCATGGTCTCAGTCATATCCGGCTCCTGTGCCACTGCCCCGTACGCTGTACTTGGGAATCAATACCTTGGGGGCTGCCAGTAGCCACAAGGAGATGTTGAGAACGAGATCCATCAATATCATCCCGCGGTGGAGTTGTTGGCTCAAGTCTGGGCGGCCGGGTCAGCATTTCGAGGTGGAGCTTGGAGGCATTGCGGGAGAATTGAGACGTGAAGCTCGAGACGAATCAGTCGACGGGCAGCAACAATGAGCTAGCGATGATAAGCTCTTGGCTGAATCCATGCGGAATGGTGATGTAAAGAATGAACATGGGGAAGGTTTAGGAGAGGACCGGAGCAACAGTGTGGAGAAGAGGAACGGGAGGAAATTGATTGAGGAAAACAAAGTTTGTGAGATGAGAAAAAGGAGGAGTCACGGCACGGAGTGAACAAAAAATGTGTAGGCAATGTCGAAAAGACAAAAAGAGGAGCCAAGAAATGAGAAAAAATAAAATAAAAAGGGCGGTCGCGATGCACAGTCACAGTCGAATCAAGCTCGGAGTGGAGTCCCCGGGGGTCGTGGGGGACAGCGCTAGTCAGCGCCAAGAGTGGCTGTGGCAGGCACGCTCCAAGAGTTCCATTGGTTCGCTTACCCCAAGCCGAAGGTGGTGGTCCACATTGGTCCATATCAGGTAAGCAGCTGCAGGCAAGGTTGGCACGCACCTACCTTCCCGTGCAGCTGGTGGCAACTGCTCTTGCTCGCTCTTTCCTCTATGGAATTTCAAAGTTCTGGAACATCTTCGGGAATCCGCTGGGCTGGTTGACCAATGAACTCACAGCATGTTCGATACGTACCGCCAGATGTCCATGCAAGTCTCCAGACCTCCACCGTCTGATCCAACTTGTCATTCTGCAACCTGCATCGATGCACACCACATCACAGCAGAGCAACCCGGAAGCTTCAATATCCATCCTGGTATCATACACAACCTCTCAAGTCCAAGAGCGTTTGGCCCAGTCCAAAACTCTTGGCCAGCATTACACCAATGGCCCCAGCGCTCAACGAACGCCTTGACTCGAGCATTTTCCCGAACTAATATCATGTAGCGCCACCTCGAGCGCTTTCCCTTTCTGTCTAACGTATGGTGTATCTCTCAGCATCCCGATATCTGCAATGTTTCAAGCATCAACTACCGTGGTTGCGGAAGAATGTCAAGGTCACCATCCCGGTCGCTGCATACATAACGCGGGGAACGCGGGGAAGCTTGTCGTCTAGCCAGAGAATCTTGGCCATGATCCCCTGAACAAGACGGTCTAGCTTCGACTCAATTGCATCCAACTTGTCCACCTGATCTCGAAAGGGTGTATCGCTTGAAGCATCCAGGTCAGGAAACCATCTATCATCAGCATGGGGTTTTCCGCCAGTCTACAGTGCTGTTCAGTGAGATGAACTAGCGTCGCGTTGATCTGTCAAGTCCTACAACGTAACGATGCCATGTAGGCAAACATGCTGCCATGTCGTATCTCATCCATAAAGGAGACATTATCGCCTTTGCGCATGTCAATCAACGAATCTGCCTGGCTATCCAGTTTTTTGGGTATCGTGGCTGGTGTCATTACCCGTTCCATTTGCGAGTCCTCGCGTAGCTTACGTTCGATTGTCATCAAGCTTTCCTGTCACTGCGGTGCCAACAGAGACGGCGCTTCCCATCATTTCGTTTAACCTGCCAAGAAATTGGTAGTCCAAGGCTGATCCTGAGTTCATACTCGTTCTCGCCACGAGGCTGAGCACTGAGCACTGAGCAAGATGGGGTTCAACCTCCACGCCGATGGGACGAACGATCCCAGTGAAGTCCGCAATTGGCGCATTCACATGATAGCGGTCATTGCCTCAATGAGTGCTATCGCCAGTAAGTTTCACTTCGCCCCCAAGCTCACCAGAGACGGCACCTAGACTAACACAGCCCAGTGGGTTACGACACCTCTGTCATAGGTGGCACCATGGCTCTGGACTCATTCCGCCGGGATTTCGACCTTGCAGATAGCTCGCCAACTGTCCGTGATACTCTCCAAGGCAACATCGTCTCCACGTTTCAGGCAGGATGCTTCTTCGGCGCTCTGCTCATGTTCCCCTTGGCAGAGTGGCTCGGCCGCAAGAGAGCAATCATGATCTCTGCTCTCGTCTTCCTGGTTGGCGGGACTCTCATGACAGCATCCCACGGAGAGATTGGGCTCCTGATTGCCGGAAGAGCCATCGCTGGCTTGGGCATCGGTGCTACATCCCTCATTGTCCCTGTGTACATTTCGGAAATCAGTCCGCCGTCCATTCGCGGCCGCCTCGTTGGGCTTTTTGAAATTGCATCACAGGGAGGAGGGATGTGCGGCTTCTGGGTAAACTACGCGGTGGACCGCACAATCTCAGACTCGACACAAACGCAGTGGATTGTACCCCTCGGCTTGCAGTTGCTTCCGGGTGTGCTTTTGTTCTTTGGCATTTTCGTGTGTCCTGAGTCGCCGAGGTGGCTGGCAAAGAACGATAGATGGGAAGATGCCACGAGAGTCTTGGTTCATGTCCGCGAGCTGCCAGCAGACCATGACTATGTCAGCACCGAGATCAGCGATATCAAGCGCCAAGTAGAAGACGGCAGCGCGAATCGTATGTCAAAGTCTCAAATGTTCAAGCGCTTGTTTGAGAAGGGCTCTCGCAACCGTATTGGCATCGGTCTGCTTCTGATGGCCTGCCAGAATCTGACAGGGGTCAACATCATCACATACTGTGAGTAAAAGAAAACGTTCTTATGATCTAGGTTCTCTTCCACTAACATGAAAAAATAGACTCGCCTCGTATCTTTGAGACTCTTGGCATTACAGGCACGAGCACCAAGCTTTTCGCGACGGGCTTCTACGGTATAGCCAAGACCCTCGGCATGGTCATCTTCACCGTCTGGCTCGCCGAAAAGGTCGGTCGGCGCAATGGTCTCATCTGGGGTGCCTTCGTCGGATCCCTTCCAATGTGGTACATTGGTGGCTTCACGTTTCTTGCGGACCCTGCGGGCGAGGCGGCTGCTGGTAATACCGACCGCAATGCATGGGGGTACATCGCCATGGTTTGCGTGTATCTCTATGGCTTGATCTACTGCGCCACCTGGTGAGGCTCCTTTTACTAGTATCGCTAGTCTATGAGTGAGGCATAAGGTCTAATCAACCCTACAGGCAAGGCATCACGTGGCTGTACTGCAGCGAAGTGTTCAGCTTAGACATCCGCATGCTCTGCGTCGCAATCACAACAGCAGATCAATGGCTGTGGAGCTTCATTGTCTCACGGACTACGCCTTACATGATTACGTCGCTCGGCTACGGAACTTACATGTTCTTCGGCGCTCTCATGATCCTGATGGGCGTGTGGGCTTTCTTCTTCGTACCGGAAACCAAAGGTAAGTTTTGTTACCCACTCTCACTGGTCTCTACTGCCGTCAGAGTGTATTATCCTCAGCCACTTTCTCCGTCGTCGTTGTCCTTGTGGCTGACGCAGGCGCCCCGTGCTAGGTCTCACGCTGGAAGATATGGATCTACTCTTCATGAGGAGCATGCACACCACGGTCTGGACCGCTTTGCGAGAACGCAAGAGCGTCAAGGATGTCTTGGCGAATACTTCGCCCGCCGCTGTGTACGCGACTGGTTCGGAGGAGAAGGAGATTCGGTTAGAGTACGTGGATACTGTGGAAGACAAGTCAGTGGCAAGATGAGATGGCTCAAGGAGACGCAACGAGCTGGAGGCGGATGGAACGGGTAGTTTCGAGGCGGCCTCTTTTGCAAACATTTGGTAGGGAATTTGGATGTTTCCTTCATTCGTTCGACTGATTGCTCGTTCAATCAAATGGTACTTACGACTCTGTGCGAGGTACTTTCGGGTTTGCCAAGCCCCGCTGTTTACTTTTGCACTGCCCAGCGCAAAAATATGCACTGCCACCGGTAATTATGCGGTGTGACGTAGTTTTATAACTCTTGTCTTTGTAAAGAGCAATTAGATCTCACCGTTTCGTGGTAAAATTCTGGCTGGGATGTGGTGTGTGTCTCGACTCTCCAGAGGTTGGTCGGATGCGCCAAGTCTTATCTTGACGAGGCGCAGTTCACCGACTTGCAGTGCTTCGAGTGGTTGGGAGCCAAACTTGCACTGATAGCTGCCACACTAAAATTGAACAAACTGAGCTGTTTTCTGCAGGCCGATTTATGAAATGCACCGCCTTTTCTGAGAATTTTCCATCGGCGTATCGCGGAAAATATGTTGATCTGATAGACACTTGTTGTTTGATCCCAAGCCTCATACCGTGCAATGTAATTGGTCGCTCTAGACCTACTTGGCGGCCCGATAGCCAACCTTCCTAACTTTAATCAGGGTGGAATAGCCCCTGGTGAAGAGGGTGATCTTAGCATCACTTCCATAAAACGGGCCGACGCTCGCCGAAATACGGACATGTTAATTGCATTGAGATTCGTCGATCAGGCAGACTCTGCGTTGAGGGCCTGATAGGCACTCTCGCTGGCAGTGTCATAATGCTAGCCTGCCTGAATACATCGCAGCTTACATGAGCTTTTGAAACTGTACTAGGTTCGGACTTGGAGTCATCGTTTATTGCATCGCCAGTTGTAAAAAAAAGTCGGCGTTCTCGGTGACGCCTATTCCCGGTGGGATTGATCTTCCTAGAGTCCGGCCTCGGAGTCAAGGGGCCTTGTTCGATCCCCCGTCTGTCCGATCGAAACGGTCGGCTAACACAGCCTCCGCCCAGTTACGCGGGGCCGGAGATTACTGCTGACCTTACTTACGACTGCGGGAACGAGAACGAGGGTGTCACAGACTATGTCGTATCATGTCTCGTGAATGATGATGGTGGCACGGGATTTCAGAAGGAGATTGACTTCTATAGATCGAATATAACTGAGTTTGCGTCGTTGCCCTCCGATTGTAGATGCTGCAACCACAATCGCTCTAACGAGTCCTTGATCCCGTCGAGTGGAAGCATTCAAAAGGAATCAACTTATTGATTGAACCGAAAATCCGTGGTAGCCTGGGCGAAAATCGTGTCCATCCTCTTGAGATTCCTCTGACAATGAATCTACCATCGGAACTACCATTGGAACGTTGCCTTAGATGATCATGATTCTCTCCCTGGCCAAGCTGCTGAACAGCGCTTAAGCCACACCGATATCATTCCTACCCCAGACATCAAAACGACCCAGCCTCTTGTACTTGCACTTCTCCTTCTTCGACTCCTTCAGGATCGAGAATCTCGTGAAGCGAGGGTATTCCGCGTCTTCCACAAAGGCTTCAACCAACTCGCTCGGTAGATCGCATGCCGGCGAGCTGGCCGCAACACCTGTATCTTCCTCACTCACCTCAGCAATTCCCCTCTCGCCCGAAATCTTCCACGACATCTTCACCAGATTGCTCAAGCCATCAACCGTCCCATAAGCCCCCTTTCTCCAGAGCAAAATCCCTCGTCCCCAAAAGCAACACCAAGACCTCGGTAAGATCAGATCCCCATCTCTACAGCAAACTAGGCGGGTCATCGGGCGCGAACTCGATCAAGATATCATACGTCTCAGCAAGTCTCAGGAAACACATTTCCTTGACGTCGTCGCCCTCGTAGATGCCCTGCATTATGCTCAGCCGTAGGCCGCGAACAAGGTGTCCGTCGAGCGTGATGAAGCCGGACGAGACCTGGCCCGTCGGCTTGTCGGCGTTTGATGTAGACCAGATCGTCACCTCCAGGGTCGTAGTATGTCTTGTGGTCCAGCGTAAAGAGAGTCTCGTTCAACTGAAAGAAACCCTCGGTAGCTGAGTTGCTCCCATCGGCCGCTAAGTGTGAGTGTTGCGCCAGAGTACATCGCATACATGAGAGCCGCTTCGTGAGCCCAATCTTCTACGAAATTTTAAATGATACAAAGCCGACCGACTCAGAGATAGTCCAGTTCCAATGTCTTTGCTGCATGAACTATATCTCCTATCGTCTCTGGAAGTTCGCTGATTGAGATATCAAAGTTCTGATGAGCCTGGTAGCTATCTTTGGTAGTGATGAGGCCCGGTCGGCTTGGGCTCCAACAGTGGCTCAACGTAGCGTAACTACCTTCAATCCCCTTTGACTCTTTTAGATAAACGCGTGAGATATCCTGGCCTTGCAACACCAAGACACGAGACAGTAGGATATGCGGTGAGGTTCCTGCACACTTGTAATGTCTTTTGCAGCGGTTATAGAGCCATGATTTGGCGAGCTAGGTAGCATTTTACAGATTCCAACCTGCCAAATTCTTCTTTCTTCTTCTGCTGGAAAGACTTTGTTGACGGGCATCTCGTGAGACGAAGTTGTGGGGAAGAGGTTAGCACTCTAAGCCTGATAAAGACTCTTGATGAAGAAACTCTTTGCGCAAGATGTACTTCTTACAGATGAAAGGGCCCACGAGCATCTCCTTTTCCATATCCGCAGCATTTCGCCCCCTCCTGGCATATCACTTTTCCCCGCGCATTTCAAATGCTTCTTCAGTTGCAAGATCAGAAACAATAAAGATCCTCAAACAATCCCGCCACTGTTTCCTGACCCTGATTGTAACTTTCTCATCATCATCAGGGGGCCACTTGAGGCCTTCTGGAGGAGACTGAGCAAACAGTCTCCACACAAAGTACAGAACACACAGCTTCTACTCTCAGCGACTTCCTTGAGTGTACCGCCCTTTACTGAGAATTCCTCGTAAGGCCAACGGTGCATGTCGGCCGACTTGACCTCGAGTCGCTCGATATCTTCGCAGACGGAGCAAACAGTAGGCTGCGCTTGCACTAATCAATGGCCTGGGTCGTGATCAATGCCCTGACCGGGAACGACTACGCAAGTCGAATAAAGGTCTGCCTGCGTTCTTCCACAGTCTAGACACCAGTAACGGAGGCCGAGATCAACTCATAATCATCTAGATCATTGCGTAGCTTCTCGTACCTGTCGCAAGTTGCGTCGCTATGATTCGGCGGGTCGAGAATGAGGCGATTGCGAAAAGCATCGTGGAACTCGTACAAAGAGTTGGCAGCTTCAGTTTCAGAATCCTGCCGTTTTTGGATGGCTCTCTCGCGGTGAGGTAAGACATGTCGGGATTTTATCCAGTGTAGGAGTGACATGATTCAGTTGTCTCGTCTTAGGGGCACTGAGAGTTTAGATCAAGTTGTGCTCCGAGATAGCGGTTTATAACTGACTTGCCCTTCGTTTAAGATATGCGACTTGTGCGTTGATCGCAGACAGTACGCATTTCGCGCCTCAGCCTCACATGCGCTCTAGGCTCCCATACTGTAGTGCGTCACTCTGACTAGACCGCAACGTGGGCTAGGCAGAGGCTTGTGCGGAAAGCATCACCATTATGACGCTAGGTTAATTCCGGATCTTATCCCCCACACTAGGCAGATGCCACTGTCAGGGAAATGGATTTGTTCAATGTTCACCGTAATCACCCAGAATCTCGCTTAGGTACTCGATGTGATACGAGCTCCAATAGAAGTAAACACATACACAACTACCCACTTCAACCATGTCGTAATGGCTTCAACCATCCATAGCCTTACTACACGTTATATAACCTTAGTTATATAATTACTAAGGCCTATTTTACTTATACCCTTTATATTAAAGCGAGCTTTAAGCTTATTTTTTATTTTTAATAAATAACCGTTCTTTTTATATATATTAATACCCCTATAATAACTCTATAATAATTATAAACTTAGCTCTAACTTAAACCCTTATATTTTTATTAAAAAGTTATTTTTTAAAAATTATAATTTATTATATTCTTTTTTATAATATTATTTAACCCTTATTATAGTCGTTAAGCTTAATTTTAAATAAACTAATATTTTTTAAAAAAACTATTAATATTCCTAAGTAAAAGCTTAATTATTAATAAAATTAGCTAAAATAGTACTTCGTTTTATAAATTAAGGCCTAATTAAAAAATATTTAGGACTTTTTAAACTTAAATAACTATATTTTTTTATTAAATCCGTTATTTTTTATAAAATCTATTTTTTTAATCAAAAAGTATATTAAAATATAAAATACTATTTAAAATTAAATATATAAAACGGCCTCGACTAAATACTAATAAAGACTTAAGGAGTTTATTTAATAATAAGCTAAATAATTAAAAAGCGAGATTATAATTAAACCCTTAATTAAAAATAATTAAATTAAATAACTAATTACTTTAATAAAACTAAAAACTATAATAACGAATTAAGTACGTTTTATTAAAAAATACGCCTTTTTTATTTAATAAACTATATTTAAAACGATCTCTTATTCTTAAAAAAAGAAATTATATAAATTAATAAATTACTAAATCTCTCTTATAGTTACTTAAAAAATCTTAAAAAATATAAAAAAAAAACTTATTAATTTTTTAAATTACTCTTTTCGTATTATAATCCGGGTTTTTAAATAAAAGTACGTACTAAGTAACTCTAATTTGCTTATAATTATAAAAAAGGAATTTAATATAATTATAAATAGGGCGAACTTTAATATTAACTTATTAATTTAAATTAAAAACTTCTTTTTAACTTATTATTAAGTAACGTAACTTAAGTTATTTAAAGTTTAAAGTACTCTTGCTTTAAAAGCCTTTTTTTATATAACTATATATTATTTTATTTTAAACTAATCTAACTAAGAGCTCGCTAATATTATTAAACTAAAATAAAAAAAAAAGCGATTTTTCATATAAAGTATTATACTAAGATTTTTAATAACTTATTATATAAAGAGGTAATATATAATAAAAGTTATAAACAAACCCTTATAATATTTATAATATTAATAAGTTATTTAGATTTCCCTAAGTAAAACGAAGTAATTCCTAACTCGTTTATTAACTACTTTTATAAGGGGTTTTATTATTAAAAACTAATAAATTATATAAAAATAAAGCTTATTTTAATAAATAAGATAAAATAAGAATATATTTAGCTAAGTAATAATAAAACTTAGAAAATAATTTCTTATTTAAACTAAGAAAAGTATATAAACCTCTGTACTAACTTTACTTAAAAAAACTAGATTTATATAAAACCCCTTTTTAAATAAATTAATAATAACCGAGGTTATTTTAAAAAAATAACTAAAACTAATAAGCTAAATAATAAAAAGAACTCTAAGGGGACCTATTTCTTAAATATCGTAGTTATAATTATTAATATTAGTTTACTCCCTAAGCTAAGTATAAAGGATAATAAAAATAATAATCTTATTATTTTTTTTATCCCCTTTACTAACTTATACTTCTTTTTTAAAAATACGGTTATAAATAATTATAATACTATTTATTTTATTAATAACTAATCGCTTTTAAAACTAGATTCTATTTAATAAAATAATAGTTTAGAAAATATAAACTTTAAAATAGTATTTTATCTTATTATTATTAAGGGAACGAGGATTATATAAAATATTTTTATAAAATTAAAGGGGCCTAAAATAGAGTACCTTACCCTTTATAATATCGGTTTTATTAAGAACTTCTATATAAACGTCGTATTAAAAGCTCTTTTTTAAAAAACGGGTATTTAGTACTTAGGTTTTAATTATACCCTTTAGTTTAGTAATAAATTTAAGAACGTTATTATTAAGTAGCTTAAGAAGAAAATTAATTTAGTTTTTTTAAAATATAAGCCTTATTTGTCTTATTCTCTATTTAGAAATTAGTTTTTACTTATTAATATAATTTTAATACGTAATATATAGCGCTTATATTTTTTATATTAATTAAAAAATAACCGATCGAATATAGCTTAGCTTTAGTATTTTAAATTTAAATATTTTATGCTAATAGTATTTAAAAAGCTTATTTTAGCTACTTAGGAAATAAAAATTAAAAAACTAAGTTATTTAAAATACTAATATCATACGACTATTTATATAAAATAAGTTATTTTATAACGTACTTTAAAACGAAAAGTAACCCGACCTTATTATAAAATTTTATAGGACCTCTTTAACTACTTATTAACTTATAAACGAAATAAGTAATTAATACTAATTAAAAACGAATATTTAAATAGGATCTTCGTTTTTTTATAAGTTATAAAAACTTATAATATAATATTTAAGGTCCTATACCTTTTTAAATAATAAGTATATATATAAAAGGGTATAGCTATTTATAAAATTTAATAAAATATAGAACGTATAATAATCGTAATTAATAATAAAACTCGTTTTTAAATATAAATACGGGAGCTAAGAATAGACCTAAAGACTACTCCTTTATATATAAAAAAACTAAATAAAAAAAAGGAACGAGCTAGCTAAGAAATTATTAATAAAACGATTAGTATAATATTAATAACTAGTTTATTAAACGAACTTTAAATAAAAGTTATATTAGCCGTAGCCTATTTATATAATATTAGCCCTAGGTAACGTATTAACTAATTATTATTAATTTAAATTAAAAAAATCTAGTTCGCTTATTATTTTAAATAGTAATAATTAATAAATATACTAAAGCTTATTTATAATTTATATTCTTATTAAGAATAGATATATATATATAACTATAGAATATACCCTCTTAAAAAGGATTATAAAAAAAGAATTAATAAAAAACGCTTTAAAATAGAATAAAGGGGATATATCGAGTACTTTATAAGTTACGTAACGAACGCCTATAACTTATATAAGATCTAGATCCCCTCGTTTTTAAAAATTATTATTACTTAGAATATAACGTTTAATAAAATAGCTTTTTATTTAAAAAATAATATTAAAATTATAATTTATTTATTTAAATTAAAGGCTATAATAAATAAAATTTAATAGCTATTTATAATAATTAAACTTAAGCTCTAATTACTTAAAATTATAAATAAAAAAAAAGCCGTATTAATTAATAATAAAAAGTAGCTATTATTATTTATACTCGCTTTATAAAAAATAAATAAGGCTATAAATAAACCTAGTTCGCTTCTAAATAAATAAAATAAGTAACTATTTACTCCTAAACTAACCCTAAATTTTAAAAGTCCGGAGTTAAAAACGAACCTTACCTAGCTAACTAAATTAGTAAATAAGGCTATAAAAAAAGTCGATCTTCTTATTAAAAAGATTAAAAACGTAATATATATATAAATAAAAATAAAAACTTTTTAAAACTCTTATAAAAAAGATCTTTTTATTTAATTAAACCTTAATAAACCTCTTTAATAAGCGAGCCTATATTAAAAAATAAAAATAATAAATAACTTAGTTAATAACTCCGATATAATTAATATATATAATTAAAAAAAGGATGAGTATACTAAATAAAACTAGAGGTTAAAAAACTAATTCTTAAAAATATTTATTTAAAACCCGAGTTAATAAGAATAATTCGGGTAGTACTCTTTTTATATTTAAGTAAAAAGAGACTAGGACTCTTTTTTTAATACGTATATACTTAATTAATAAAAAGTAATTAATAAAATAACTTAGGGATATTAAATACTATATTACTATATTTATATTATAATTAGTAAAATAAAATACGTTTTACTAACTACGATCTAATCTAACTAAATTTATATAAATTAATTAATTACCCCTTTAAAAAAGTAAAAAGATATTTTTAAAATACTAAAACCTTTAAAAAGTTAATTTATAAAAATAATATAGTTAGAAATTTAGAAATTAAAGAAAATAAATATTTAAAAAGTAGTTAATAGGGCGTCGGTTATTTCTAAACTAATACCTTTTAAATAAGTATTTAATTATAAACTTAATAATAATAATTATTTTAATTATTATAAAGCGAGAATTTATATTAAAAAGGACTTTTAAAAACGATACCCCCTAAAAAAAACCTACGTAATAACGCTAATTATTAAAACGTTTAAAATAGTTATAACTATTGCTACTTAATTTAATTTAGAAATTTATTAATATAATATTATAAATACTTTTTTAAACATAATTAAGAAACTAAGTAACCCCCTTATTATTTACGAACTTCTAAATAGTTTTTATAAATTAAAAATA